TGCGCTAGTTATTAATTTATTTGGGTTTGTTAATCAATAATATAATACGTTAATCAATAATAATATACTACGAAAGGAACTTCGTTCCAACCGAGTGTTACACAACACTAACGCATGTTTTTTGTTGTTTACAAATGATTTGAGAGATACATATTATCTGTCCGTGAATTCGTGTTCTTACAATAAGCTGAGCATGGTTTTAACTTGGTTTTAGCATCACTTGAAATGTCCGCAGGGCTCTGTCTTTATTTCTTTGTTGATCAGTGTCCCAGCAACTAGTTACTTCTAATTCTAACGGAGACCGTGTTCCACTTTTGATTTTAAAGTTTTTACATCTTCTATATGGGTGGCAAGCACGCTTCGAGGTCCATCTCCCTCTAACGAGGTGTATGAAGTAAGTGCTTCCCCTTTAGACTCGGTCCATTTTTCGACACCAGCGTTCTTTGGTAGGATTGGTACTATTCTTAAGCCGGACACCACACAGAGCGTATAAAAAAATGCGTACCTAACTGATGGTGAAGAAATGCAATATTACAGGGACTTATCTTTCTCACTGTCCCAAATCTTCAACATTTAAGTATATTTCTGATCAAGACAATTATTAATTGAAGTACTTTTAAAGTGTGTAAATAATTTTTTTTAATTTTAATTGCCAGTAATGACCTATGGAACTGAAACGTGGTCCTTAACTGCTGTCCGTATGAGGAAGCTCAAGGTCGCTCAGCGAGCTATGGAGAAGTCTATGCTCGGGGTTCCTCTAGAAACAGAAACAGAAACAGAAACTTTTTTATTCAATATAGATTATAAATAATACTTATTGAAAGTCACTCTTTTGTTTGATTACCACTGGTTCGGAAAAAACTCTATTTTACCTCTGCGTGATAAACTTAGAAATGAGGATATCTGTAGTAGAACCAGAGTTACTGACATAGTAAGCTGAAGTGGCAATGAACCGGCCATATAGCTCGAAGAACCGATAACCGATGGGGAATAATTTAAAATTTATAATTTATAATTAAAAATTAAAAATTTTGTACAGCCGACTTCAATATAAGTTATTTAAGAATAACTCAAAAACTATTGGTCTGAACTTGATCAAACTCATATGGGACTACACGAGATGTATCAGCTTTCATATAAAAAAAGAATCATAGAAATCGGTTCACCGAGTAAAAAGTTATGAGGTAACACACATAAAAAAAAAACAAAAAAAAATACAGTCGAATTGAGTACCGTATCCTTTTTGGAAGTCGGCAGAAAAAGATTCTCGAGTGGCAGCCTCGTACCGGCGGACGAAGTGCAGGGCGTCCCCCCACTAGATGGAGTGACGATCTGGTAGGAATTGCGAGAAGTCGATAGATGCAGGGTTCTCAGGACCGTGCTTTGCCACTGAATGCCACAGCATTCCTTGGGGGAGGCCTATGTTCAGTAGTGGAATTGTGAAGGGCTGTAATGATGATGATGTAAACAATTGTAGCACATTTTAACCGACTTTAAAAAGGAGGAGGTTCTCAATTCGGATGTTTATATATATTTTATGATTATTCAGGGTTGTTTTGCAATAACCGGCCTTTGCAGAGAAGGTCTAATCTGTATAAATAAAATGATAGAAGTTTGCAGTCGTGAGCGCATCACGGAAAAACTACTGGATACATTGAGTTATATGTACTACGTACTAGAGAAGCCATTCCTAACAAAAATTGTGTCCTACTCTATGTCTTCGCGCATGCGCGGGAGTAGTAGTCGCGCATGCGCGAAGACTTTAATATGATAATATAAGATATTAATATAAAATAAATATAAGAATTTAATATAAAATATCTTAATTTAATCTAAACAAACATATTTCTAAATAAAATGTAATAATAATTATTTTATGGAATTAACAAATCTTCAATTTACGCGATATTTAGTTTGTATGGATTGCACTACAGTTCAGTTGAACATAGTCAATGTTCGGAATGGCTTCTCTAGTACGTAGTACATATAACTCAATGACTGGATAGATTTCAATTAAGTTTTCTAAGTTTTATTTCTTAGACACATAGCCCTTAATATTGCAATTAAAGTTTTAATGAACAAAGATTTTTATAAGCACTACGTGTTCAGTGATGTGTGTTTTCTTGCTGCGGAGAAGTAGGGCAAGCGAGATCACACAACAATTAATTAATTGTACTGTGGCAGCAACTCGCCGGGTAAATAAATCATTTGTGAAATATTTTTATTCTGTCTAGTATTCGTGCGCGTTGACGTGTTAGTACATAATCGCGTAGATGTTTGTGGTTACCAACGTTTGCTATAAACTGTAAACACATCCAGAAATACATGTAAGATCGGGTTCAAGGTCTCGGAACGAGTCAACTAATTTATCAATATGGTTGATAACACCATACCAACGTAAAATACGAAGTAGAAACTAATTTCGTCTTATTTCCTTATTATTATTACGCTTTAGTTTGTATTACTGTTAGAATATAATAGAATAGAATAATTTTATTTAATATAGATTACAAGACATTTAAAGTCATTTTTTTCCTGGGAAGAACTAGCAATAAACCCATCGGGACGTTTTTTCTCTTTCAAAATAAAAATATACAATAAAACAGGTTGTACAGACTAGATACAAAGCTTATTTAAGAAAAACCTTGCAAGCATCTGCCTCATTTCCAAGAGTTATTTGTAACAATGTTTTCATATATATATATATACTTATATATACTTTTTAATATCTATAATATACCGTAGTTATTTTTTATAGCTTATTAAACTTTGAGAAGTTACATTGTGCTGAAGAGTTCACTGCCTTTATCAAGCATAAAAAAGTAATAATAAAGTCATAAATTACATTTGACATTTTTCCATAATGACATCTTTATCGCATAAATGTTTATTGTTTACGATTACAAATACTTTTTTTAATTACTTGTAGACGCAGGCGAGGATGCAAAAAACAGAAATTACAATTAAATTAATTTAAACATCATAATTTAATTTTGCACGCCTCATAACGCGAAGCGTTATTAGGTAGTGCTTTGCTGTCGATACGTCAAGGTCAAGCAATTTTGTGTTCTTAAAATGCCTCTATCATAACTATATTGCACTTATACGATAATATGAGTAGCCGTATTTTTTTTATAGGATATGGTGACAAACGAGCACACAGTCCACCTGATGGTAAGTGGTTGCTGTGGCCCATAGACATCTATATTTATCCTCGTTTGCGAATCAAAATGCAGATGCGTTGTCACCCATGAGGAAGATAGAATGCCTCTTTTCCAGTAAAAAGGGTCTCCGGTCCTCTACATTCACCATACGAAACACAGCAGTGTTATGCTGCTATTTTACGCTGGTGTTCTGTAAGATCGTGGTCCTTCCTCGGTCGAGCCGACCCATTCGTGCTACAGCTATACCAGAAATATAGCTGCAGCATGGCTCTACCATGTATAAAAATCAAGAAAGAATAAATCAAGAAAACAGTTTGAAAAAATTTTACGTGGACGACCGCACGTTGATGTTTTATGTGGTCACAATAACTCTCGAAAAAATAGACGTATCGAGACCGGGTTGTATTTATTAGCTTCAGAATTAAATCAACTGGTTCCCCATTTTATGTCAATGGCCTAGTACGCGTAGTTTATTAATAAAATTATTTTCAATATTTATAAATATTGTTGCTATTAAAAATTTTAAGGCGCTTTCATATTTTTTTAGCACTTGATAGACAAAGGATAAATGTACCATCTGTGGTACATTTGTGCAATAAATATTATATACCCCTAAGGCATTACAGCCTCTAGCCTATATTGATTATATACTGTGTGATATCGATTTATTTGGTAAACATTATTATTTTCTTTCCCTGTAGGTGACACTACCTGTTAAAATAATATAGCGCTAAATTTGAAACACGTAAATAATATATTATTTTATAGGTCAGAAATACAATTTATTTTTTCATCAAAATTAAATGAAACGCTCATGAGGCGTGCACTTTTGAATTATAAATTTAAGACGCGTGACAATTGTTTGATGTGAAAATAAAAAGTTCAAAAGCCTTTCAAAAGTGAATTCACAATTAAAAAGAGTATTCACAATTTTTTCTATCACCAGGGCGGCGCCACTTAATAGTAAGGTGTAATATTTGATAGATTTCATAGCGGGGAAGTTAATTGTTCGAAAAATGTAAAGGTTAATGTGTCTTTCTGTACTATTAGTTATATTTAATATTAATTAGATTAAAACCCTTCCTCCCCCTCCGGACCTTTACGTAATTAATGAATGACCCCTTACAACACCCACGGCATATGGGGTTTCTTTTACGCCGTAAAGAAACCCCATATGCCGCTGCTATTTTACGTGGTAGAGTCATGCTGCAGCTATATTAGTAATATAATTGTAGCACGAGTGGGTCGGCTCGGACCACGCTCTCACAGAATACCAGCGTAAAATAGCAGCTTAACACCGCTGTGTTTCGTATGGTGAGTGTAGAGAACCGGAGACCCTTTTTACTGGAAAAGAGGCATTCCATCTTAGTCCTCACGGGTGACAACGCATCTGCATTTTGATTCGCAAACGAGGATAGATGTAGATGTCTATGGGCAACAGCAACCACTTACCATCAGGTGAACTGTGTGCTCGTTTGTCACACTGTCCTATAAAAAAAATCTTAGTCCTCAGAGGTGACACCGCATATGTAGCCTTGTGTGTTTGAAGTTGGCTGCATCAGCCACTTACCGTCAGGGAAACTTTAAGTTGTTTTTCACTTAATGTTACAGCCTGTATACGTCACACAGCTGAGAGGGTCTCATTTCTGAGAGGGTTTTAGGGCAAGGAAATGTCCTGCCCCAATGCGTGTTGGCGAACTTCACATGTCTTCGAAATATTTTTATTTCTCAGACATGCAGGTTTCCTCACGACGTTTTCCAGCACGTAGTAAACGTGGTGATGGTGGCACTTCAACTTAAAAAAAATAGAAGAATAATAAATCCAATCTCTTACAGGTGGCTAGAGGTGTTGCTGCTTTGTCTGCTCTGCTGCCAGTCGCTCGCTAAAGAATACGAGAATGGAAGCGACGACGCATTTTGGATATCATGGTTAAAGAACTACACCATAGAACCGTTCATCATAGGCTCACGGAATGGAGGTATTGAGACAAATTAGAAATATAGTACGTGAGGGCGATATGGTCATCTGGTTAATATGGTCACTTTCTTATAACTCAAAAACTACAACCTTATTTCATAGATGACTCTGTGATACGATAGCTCTTCATCAGTCAATCAAATAGTAAAGGGACAAAAGGGCGCCGCTTTATCGACGCCATTTTGACGGTTGACATTATAGGAAATATTTTTGTTGATTTTAGTATTTGTGTAGTTAGTTTTTTTAAGTTGATTTTTCTTCTAAGTGTTTTTAATTATTGCCAAAACTTGTTTGCTATTTTTTTTTAATATCTTAATTATATTACACGACTTTGCGTTTTCATCTGTCTTCCTCCTAGTTGTGGTTTTATAGTGCGGCAAAGCTTAGATGACCATATTAACCTCACGTACCTTACTATATTGTTAGAAAACACACAAGCACAGCCTAAGATCACCTGATAGTACATGGGTACTGTGGTCCATTGACGCTTATGTATGCCTATCATCGTTTAGGGATCAAACATTCAGATTGAGGCCTAAGATGGCATGCCTCTTTAGGTTGATAGAGATTATAGGTTCTTCGAAAATTCATTCGGTGACATAATTTTTTATAGGTTTTTGTATACATGATACTACGATATTGCATGCCTTAAGCGCAAAGGGTGTAGGTATATTTTACTAGCGCCTAAAAATCAAGATTCCGACGTTTTGTCGCATGAAATCATTTTGAATATATAAATTATATAAAAAGCACATTGTCAGAAAGATAAATGATTGTTGAACTTATTTTATTTAAACCGATTAATTGCTATTTTTACATAAAAACAGTGGTTTTAGTGGCTTATGGCGTAGATCTATCATGTGCGCATAACTCAATCTATTTTCTACCGACTTCAAAAAGGAGCCGGTACTAAATTCGACTGTATGTTTTTTTTTTATGTGTCTTAGGTACCTCTTAGGTACCTCTGTCTTAGGTAGATCTATCATGTGCGCATAACTCAATCTATTTTCTACCGACTTCAAAAAGGAGCCGGTACTAAATTCGACTGTATGTTTTTTTTTTATGTGTCTTAGGTACCTCACCGGTTAGTAACTTTTTACTGGGTGAACCGATTTCAATGTTTTTTTTTATTTGAAAGCTGGTGCTTCACATGTTTTTACATAATTTGATCAAGGTCTGACTAATCGTTTTTGAGTTATTCTTAATAATTTATATTGAAATTTATATCGGTTGTACAATTTTTTTTATTTTAAATTATTATTTAATCTCTTCATTTATCATGGAATGCCATTTACATGGAATGTAAATGGCAGTTTAATTTTGTTTTGTTTAGTCATAATTAATTTTTTTCGGCTGAGAAATCCCGAAAGGAGATGTATGAAATTGGGTGCTTGACATCTTTCGTAACAGTTATACAAAAATACGTAGATAATAAAACGATAAAGTATAAGCATAAATAAATGGTTTTTGTTTCTGTAATGCTTGGGACAATCATAAAAACATTTTTTTAACTGAAATAAAAAGCTAATGCTTTTGCTTTAGCAAAAACGAAACGTTTTTAAATATCTTTCTGTGTTCTGTCTATGGCAATAGATGATGAAGGCTATTTTATAATAAAATTGCCTTGGCCTTACCAAAATAAATTCATAATATTGAAACTTTGATGCGAATCTGTAGTAACTAATATTGAATAAAATATTTAGAAAACGATTGAATAGGCTGTATGGTCATTGATCATTGCATATTTGCTACGTTTAAGAGGCGGGACTTCCTCGAATTATTCTATCGATAATACTTTTATCGATATATTGTTTATCGATATTTTTACATAATAAAAGCTAGTTCTCTATACTGAATTATTTATGACCAATACTTTTTTTAACCTGGGGATTGAGTAAAAATGCCGATTAGGATAACAAATCATTGTATTTTACACGCAGAAATTTGTAATTATATCTCTACAGTTATTAGGTACAAAAATATGTGTAAAAAAAATATAAAATTAAAAATTAATTAAGTAAAAACTAAATGACGACTCCGTAGCGCAGAGGCTAAGCGTTTGGCTGCGGCACTGCAGGACCGAGGCCTCGTTCCCGCACTGAACTATTGTTGCTATGCTGTAAAATAAATAGTTTGCGTCTGGACGCTTGTTTTCAACTTTAGTTTTTTTAAAGGGTATACAATTGGGTTTATTAACACTAATTGGATTAGATTGCTTTTAACTGTAACAAATACTATGTACAAATCGCTAGGCTTTTTCACAGAGGTACCTACGTACATACTACTCGCAGAGATCGTATACTTATTGTCGCTTTCAAAATGAGTGCTCATTATGGCTAATGTTTGTAGATGAATCTATTAAAAAACTATTTATAACCAGGTAATTACAAATAACTTTGAGTTTAGTTTTATAATCGAATTCTTACCAATATGTGCATATACTTTAACAGTGGTAGAGCCAAGCGGTAGCTTTTGCTGTCGCATGGATGGGCCAGCTCGAACCGGGGTGGTACCACGATCTCACAGAATACCAGCGTGAAGTAGAGGTTCACCTCTGCGTTGCGCTTGGTGAGTGCAAGTGGCCGGAGGCCCAATCCCCCCCCCCCCCCCCCATCAACATCGTAGTGGAATTAAATACAAGACTACCCCAGGAGGGTACCAGCACCCTTGGAGAATCCCTCGCTGAGCATCCACGACCAAACTACTTCACTCCTGAGCGTGGGTGCTCAGGCTGCCCCGCGTATTCGGGGGGGGGGGGGGGGGGCAAAATTCCGCTCGTGACTAATGCTGCTCGGGGCAAGCGGAGCAATACAACCAAGGCGACTCCTGTCACGCTATCCGTGAATTTTTGTAACATCAGGGGACTTCATTCCAACCTTAACGATGTCCATTACCATCTAGAGACGGCGAAGCCGGCCTTGCTCTTTTTAACCGAGACTCAGGTGTCCTCTCTGGCTGATACTTCATATCTCTCCTACCCGGGATACAAATTGGAACACTCCTTTGTGCCCCGGGCTGGAGTTTGTGTATACGTCAGAGAGGACATCTGTTTTCGACGCCTCGGCAGCCTTGAAGGTACAGACCTGTCCATTCTATGGCTGACTCATCGACCACGTCCAAATGGCTGCAGACTCCGTGCTACAACAGGTCCCATCCGCAGAGATCGTGATACTCGGTGATTTCAACGCCCACCACGCTGAATAGCTTGGTTCTCGTTTAACCGATCATGCGGGTAGATCTGTCTACGACTTTGCTTTGGCATATGGTCTAACACAACTGGTTACTTCGCCTACGCGGATCCCAGATGTGGAAGACTATATACCTTCCCTGTTGGACCTTCTGCTGACCTCTCATCCGGACGGATATCACGTCTCCGTCGATGCCCCTCTGAGCTCTTCGGACCATTGTCTCATCCGGAGCACGGTGCGACTCACGCTCCAATCGCAATTGTGATCTGCAGCGGTCTTTTTTTGCATCCTACCCTTGGGGGCGACTTTGCTTCTCGCCGGAAGATCCCAGCGTTGTTGCCGATTCTGTTGCTGATGTGGTACTTCAGGGTATGGAACTTTTTATTCCATCCTCTGTGGTGCCCATCAGAGGCAGATCCCAGCCATGGTTTGGTCGCTCCTGTAAAATAGCATCACGCTATAAGCAGGAGTGCTACCGGGCCTGGGCTGATGCATCAACGTCTCGGGACTTAAAAACCAGCGCACTAAAAAGAAGTATAATTCCGCCTCCAGGTCCTTTAAAAGCGTCATTGCCAAAGCAAGGTCTGAGCACATCAGCAGAATTGGCGAGAAGCTAGTTCGCCTTCCTTCGGGAATCCGTGCATTCTGGTCTCTCGCCAAGGCTGTCCAAGGGAACTTCTGTCAGCCATCCCTTCCATCTCTGCACAGAGAGGACGACTCACTGGCCCATGCCGCAAAAGAGAAAGCCGATCTGTTGTGCTCTCTTTTTGCGTCTAACTCGACTCTAGATGACGGGGGGAACATACCGCCGACCATCCCGCGATGTAAGTGCTCCATGCCGGATGTGCGATTTACTCAGCGCTCGGTTCGCAAAGCACTCTTCTCCCTGGACGTTAGCAAGTCGAGTGGGTCCGATGGAGTCCCTCCCATTGTGCTGAAGACGTGTGCTCCGGAGTTAGCACCGGTTTTAACGCGTCTTTTCCGGTACTCCTACTCCCAAGGTGTAGTCCCGAATTCATGGAAGACAGCTTTGGTCCACCCGATCCCTAAAAAAGGCGACCGCTCAGACCCGTCCAACTACAGGCCTATCGCCATTACCTCCTTGTTCTCCAAAATAATGGAATCCATTATAAACTGCCAGCTCATGAGGTACCTTGAGGATCACCAGCTGATCAGTGACCGTCAGTACGGTTTTCCTCGGGGTCGATCAGCAGGTGATCTTCTAGTTTACTTAACTCATAGATGGGCGGAGGCAGTAGAGTCCAAGGGGGAGGCATTGGCCGTTAGTTTGGACATAGCGAAGGCCTTCGATCGGGTCTGGCACAAGGCACTTCTTTCGAAGCTTCCTTCCTATGGGCTTCCCGAGAAATTGTGCAAATGGATCACCAGTTTCCTTGCTGATCGGAGCATCAAGGTCGTAGTAGACGGTGCATGCTCTGATTTCAAGCCTATCAACGCTGGTGTTCCACAAGGCTGCGTGCTATCACCAACGCTGTTTCTCCTGCATATCAATGATATGTTGCTAACTGGTAGCATTCATTGCTATGCGGACAACAGCACTGGGGATGCCTTATATACCGGCCGTGCCAATATTTCTCGTGAAAACGTCGCCGAGTACTGGGACAAACTTGTGTCTGAAGTCGAGTCTTTGCTTAACAAAGTCTCGGATTGGGACCGACTAAATCTAGTCCAGTTCAATCCCCAGAAGACACAAGTTTGCGCGTTTACCGCTAAAAAGAACCCCTTTGTCGTGTCTCCTCAGTTTCAAGGCATTCCCCTTGCTGCCTCAGCTAGTATCGGAATCCTTGGCGTCGACATATCGAATAGCGTGCAGTTTCGTGGTCACTTGGAAGGGAAGGCCAAATTGGCCTCTAAAAAGCTTGGCGTGCTCAGCAGAGCGAGACAGTATTTCATGCCGGCACATCGCTTGCAACTTTACAAAGCGCAAGTTCGGCCCCACATGGAATACTGTTCTCATCTCTCGGCCGGGGCACCCCAGTGCCAGCTCCTTCCATTTGACCGCATCCAGCGCAGAGCGATTCGAATCGTTGACGACCGAGTTCTTTCCGATCGGCTCGATACACTGGCACTGCGTAGAGATGTTGCATCTCTTTGCGTATTTTATCGCATCTATCACGGGGAGTGCTCTGAGGAATTGTTCGGACTAATACCAGCCGCTCAATTTCACCATCGCACGTCGCGACAAAACTCGCGTTTCCATCCATACCATCTGGATGATTGGCGGTTCTAAACTGTGCGATTTAGAAGAAGTTTTCTCCCTCGCACAACTTCTTTGTGGAATCAATTACCACCAGCGAATTTTTCAAACCGATACGACTTAGGAACCTTCAAGAAAAGAGCTTACACCTTTCTAAAAGACTGGCAACGTTTCTGCAATTCCCCTGGTGTTGCGGTTGTTCATGGGCGGCGGTAGTCACTTACCATCAGGTGAGCCGCATGCTCGTTTGCCCCCTATTCTATAAAAAAAAATACCTTTATATGGATATTATCTTTTGCTACATGTAAATGAAACCTAATTAACATACACATAATAGTGGAAGTTTAAATTAACTCCACTGATGAAATAACGTTCGTTTTAGTTGGATTTCTAAATCCTCGGATTTGCAATGTTTGCCACAAATATGTTTTAACATGTGAATCTTTTCAATTGGTGCAACTGTATCGCCCATTGCTTGCATCTGAAAAATAATATAAATTAAATCACATTTTTATTGAACAAAAAAGAATGCTATCAGTCACAATTGATGATGTAGTTTCTAAGTATATTTGGTTTCGGATTGCCATCCCATCGAACTATCAGATTTAGGAAATTGTGTGTTTGTATTTGTGCACACAATCGTACACAATTAAAACCAGTCCCATGTAGATGGCTAGTTCAAAAATGTAGTCGCGTTAAACATCATATTACAATTAAAGTTGAACTCACCACATACCTTTCATCATCTAAGGGAAATATTGCTACGAATAGCCTTTTGTTGTTATTATTTCTTCCGCTTCTTGCACCATTTAATTGGCAAGTTTTATAATGCATACCTATTTATTTTTTTAACAATTGTGTAAATGAACAACAGTTTCTATAACAAAATTTAAAGCAATCTTAATAAATAAAATACATACAAATATAATTGTTTGATTTGACATTTGAACCTATTTGATTTGACAATGTCATTAATAGACATATTACGAAAAGCGGAAAGAAGAGATAACCGTCATTAAAATTTGACCCCTGTAGTACATATAATTTTTACTATGGAAGTTGCGCCAGCCTGTTGGTAACTTCGAGTTTCAGCTTGTCATGCGGCACGTGTAGAATCTACTAGTTAGTCTGTGATGCAGCATACGCATTTGGCCATTGTATTGTAGCTATTTTTTTTATTTTTTATAGGATAAGGATGACAAACTAGCACACAGTCCACCTGATGGTAAGTGGTTGCTGCGGCCCATAGACATCTACATCTATCCTCTATTACAAATCAAAATGTAGATGCGTTGTCACCCATGAGGACTAAGATGGAATGCCTCATTTCCAGTAAAAAGGGCCTCCGGCCACCTGCACTCACCAAGCGAAACGCAGAGGTAAACCTCTACTTCACGCTGGTTTTCTGTGAGGTCGTGGTACCACCCCGGTTCGAGCCGGCCCATCCGTGCGACAGCAAAAGCTGCCGCGTGGCTCTACCACTGTTAAAAGCTATTTTTTGGATAGATTTCGTGTTTTTACTTTCGTGGATTTATTTAACTTGGATTTTCTCTCGGATCACAGGACAGTAGTTGCGCCCACATAATGAAAATAATGTGGTACTTAAATTTTAAGAGGAATAGAACAGACAATCCTCCGGCCTTAGATGACGTTTTATTGATAATTGCAGAAATTAGTTAAACAATTAAAAAAGGAGTTTTATTTTACTTTATTTAATAACAACTACAAAACTGCATGCTTATGTGTTTTTTTTTATTTATTCACACAACTTATCTCAAGAACGAGTGTTTTTACTACATAACCCACAAATTATAAGACAAAATAAAAACGAAAACCCCCAGGCCCTGCAAAAATATGATTTTTGATATAAGTAGCAAATATTTAAATCTTCAAACGCCGAGCCTAAGCTTTTATGGAATCAAGTTCATCTTCTTTCTGTGTTTTGAGCAGCCTTGTAATAATTTATTTTACTAAATACACTTTGTCTCACTCGCACTCCGGGCTAGGCCACCGTCGTGAGTGGATTACTGTATCGTTTGCTTACAGCAGCGGTAATAGGCAGCAAAAATATCCGATCGCTGTAGAAATACAAAATATTCCAAAAACCAAATTTGATACACACTTGACCAAGGTTAATTTTTATAATCACAGATTTTATTACAATATTTTGTTTCGCTAAAAGCACGAAGGATTTATATATAAATATACTTTACGTCTTCGACTTTATGGAGTGACCTGAAGGTGTGCTTCGGTGTCTGCTACTGGAAACCCTCGACGAGTAGAAATAGGTTTGACCAGATTGGCCTCGTTTTGTTAGTTATGATGAGAATTTATCTCCGGATTTCATAGAGTGACCTGAAGCTGTCATTCGGTGAATGTTACTAGAACTCCTCCAAGAGTAGAACTAGGTGTGCCGACCTTCGGACTTGATAGATGGATCTGAAAGTGTACTTTGGTGCATGCTACTGGACTCCTCGAACAATAGAACTAGGAGTACCAAGTTTGGCCTCGTTTTGTTATTTATAATGAGACCTTACCTTCGGACTTTATAGAGTGACTTGAAGGTGTACTTCGGTGACTGCTACTGGAACTCTTTGATGAATAGAACTATAAAGTACAATTTTGTTTTAATTTTTTCACGATTATTATAACGTGACACAAATGTTATATAACTAGTGAGTATTTATCTCTAGTCAATAAACTAGGACGAAGCCAGTATCTATGTTTTTTCTTTTATCGATATTTAAAAGTACAAGAGTCGCTGCAGCAGCTAGCAAAACGTCCTCTTGTGTTGACATTGTGAAAAGCACTGCAGAACGACAATCGACAATGTCATATAACATTGTTATAATGCATTGTTACTCTAATGTGTACAGTATTGTTATAAAGATAAAGATATATTTATTTGCAAAAACATGTGTAGATAATAATACATTTGTCAATAATATATATTGCAATGTTGACAAACAATGTAACATAATGTGGACGTGTTATAAAACTAAAGTTACACAACATGTTACTTAATCTGTACCCTAAGAGAGAAGGTCTTTACTTGAATAATAATGTGTTGTGTGTATATCGGCATAGCAATATTTCATCAATTTCTTTTTTCTGCCGACTTCCAAAAAGGAGACGGTACTCAATTCGACTGTATGTATTTTTTTATTTATGTGTGTTACCTCATAACTTTTTACTAGGTGAAGCTATTTCGATGATTATTTTTTTTATTTAAAAGCTGATACTCCTCGTGTGGTCCCTTATGAATTTGATCAAGGTCACGCTAATAGTTATTGAGTTATTCTTAAAAACTTATGTTGAAGTCGGCTGTACAAAATTTTTAATTATCGTTAATTAGCTCCATGGTGCAGTGGCTGAGCATTGAGTTGGGGCACTGAGTCCCACACGGAACAAGTACTTGTATGGCCTTTAAGAAACACAACAAAAACAAGTCCTGTCTTCGGCGGGAGAGATAATGGTCTGTGTAGACCTTTTTTAGATGATGGAGTGATATTATAACTAGCGTAAAAAAACTGCTAATACTGGGATGCTAATAAATAATAACTTAATTGTTAAATTTAAATCTATAAAATTTGTTACAGGTGATAAAGATTCCATACCCTACGATAAAATCATAGGCATTACGAAAGAGAAGTTATCACAGCCATTGAAGAATGAGGAAAGTAAGTAATCCAGCATTGTAAGGTTAGAGTGTGAAAAACCGCGCTTATGGGGTCGACACACACGGTCAGTTAAACTGATTCAGTTGAACTGACGTACATAGAAAAACTGGCCCTGAGCACATGAATAAAGAAACCATACAAAGGCAAAGCTTCTAAGAAGTTGTCAAATTTTTTACCTTTTTTAGTATAGTAAATTGTTAAATGCAAGAAGCTTTAAAAATATGTTTTAAAGACTTCAAAAAAAACTCTTAGTTCTTCTAATACATTGTTTTTTTTTTTAAATACGGTTGTTTTCAATCTCTCCGACCTTAATATACTTTATTACTCGAATAAAAAGTTGGCAATTCTAGTTGCACATGAATTGAATTTCGTTATTTTTAATTCTTAATTTAAAAACTTTACATTATAAATATCTATGTTATAGACATCTACTTCGTTCGCCTAAAACCCAATTTTTTCTTCATGGTAAAAAAGTCAATATATCATACGTTAGTAATTTAAATTGTTTTTCCAGCCCTGAAAAGCGACAGTGAGACGAGCGCCTTCCTACAAAATATAGTTGAGATATTAAAAGTAGAACCTCCAGCTGAAGTGGAAGATGGGACAGGTTCGATCCAAGGTAAGATGAGTATGCGTTCACTCCTCCCTTTCTGTCCTCGGAATAGCTCATCCATATTGATAGTTTCCTTATAGCCAATATTCTACGAAGACCACAAATTCCGAATCCTGAAGAATTCGAAGTATGTCCTTCGCGTAAGGGATATTACAGTTGTTAGAGTAATATCCCTTACGTGGAACTGACTTTGATAGCCAACGGAGCTGGTATATATTTTCTTCTGTGTCTCTAAGTCTAGTGGAACAAATGGCACTCACTTTCAACGGTCCCTGTCGAGCCGCCGTCGTTGCTTTCACAATTGGTGAAATCGGCACTGCCGAATGTCTATCCATATATACTGTATTGCACTATGAACTCACCGGGACCCACGCAATTATCTTTCAAAGACATAATAATATAATGATATACCACCATGTGATGACGGCGTCACAGAATACATCATGTCCCATTTCATCCTGTGGGTTTCGTAAGACGGAGGTTACACGCTCATTCTGGCGTCAGTTCAATCCATGATTGATGTCAGAATGACGGGAAACTGACTATATACGCGTAGACTGATGGATTGATGGTCTAGAATGATCAGCATTAGTTATTTAAATATTTTAACAATTTTTGGCAGTCTGGTCAGACTGATTCCAGACTGAACGTGTGTTTAATAGCTATCGGTCTGATGTCAGCACCGCCATAGATTACTGTATATATACTAGGTCACCGCTTAGACAAAGATGGAGTCGCACGCCTTGTCACCGCGTACGCCGACTCACCCGCCACCCCCGACGTCCGATTCTCAACCATTAGCCCCGGAGAAATAATTTATTACAACTTTTTTTTCTTTTTAAATGTTATCCCCACACTAGGATTTTCTCCTGTACCATGAAGGCAGTTTACAAACATAAAATGCACAAGGATAAACATTCAGACCCGGAACAAGTATTTGTATGACCTGCAAGAATTATTTGCAGGCCATACAAATATTGGTTCCGTGCGGGATTCGAACCCGCGGCCCCCAGCGCTGCAACTCATTACTAAGCCACTGCGCCACGGAGCCGTCACTTTAGAAGAGAACTTTAGAAGATTTACCTATTCTTTGGGATAAAACGAATAACCAATATGTTAATAAATATAAGAGAAACGAGGCGCTTCAGAAACTATTAGTAATTTTGAAAAAAAAACCGCAAGCTAATGTAAAAGACGTGAAAAAGAAAATTAATACACTAAATAATTTTTTTCTTATTAAAATCCATACCTAATGCGTATATGCGTGTTATCGCGTAAATGTTTTCGGTTGTGCCATGGGCATGCAACTTAGAACATTATTTTACGAACAAAATGATACGTTTTATGTGCTTCCATCTACATTCCGAAGCACTAGGCTAGACTTATTTTAATCTCACTAGAGGGCACTTATATAATAAGTCTATGCATACGCAAAAATCCACGCGCACTACGCAGTTAGTAGCGGTCACTGGTTACGCTTAAATTGTTATTAATATTTATTGAACATTATTTATTTTTAGAAAATGCCATTTTATCCGTGTTTTCAGAGAATGAAAAACTGCTAAAATATTATTAAAATAGGAAGGTAAATTTCGCCACAACGCACAATGTTATAATAGCTCAGGTGGATAATCGGGCGGTACCGAAATCTTCAAAAATAGTGTCGAAAATTTCAAAGTTATCTGGACACTATGGAGTAGACAAATTGATGACTTACCCAGGGAAAAAACAATAAATAATCTGACTTTTTTTTAAGTTGTAGTAATTTTTTAAGATCCTCTAAAATTTGTCACTGTGTGTAACATTTTTAGGGACCTACTGTGACTACAAATTTGCAAATATCGCTGTTATCTTTTATTAGTAACCTCCGTAGCATAGCTATTCATCTTAGTTCCAAATAAAACGAAAATGTCTGAAGTTTTAAGAAAAAATAAAATTAAGTTGATTTTGTGTTTCAATTTTAGAAAATTTTGACGAGTAAAATTTGATAATTTTTTGCTTTTTCCCTGAGCCTGGGTAGTCATTAATTTATCCACTCCCACTGAACCCACTTTACATTGAATTTTGGGACATTTTGTATAAATGCATGTATAAAGTTTGTGCTTAGATAATGGTTTACTTTACAAGTTTTGCTAGTTTTGTGTAATCCTATAGAAAATTTTTCTAATGCCTAGCTAAAGAGTGGTCCAGCTATAAGGTTCTTAAACAAAATTCAAATTGTTACTAGTAGATAGATGTATTTATATAAATAAATATTTACCTAAACAAAAAAAATATTGTCACAAATAAAAAAATATTTTCATTTTATGCATCTGTGTGTGTGCGTGCGTACTTGCATGCGTGCGTGTCGGCATTCATGTGTGTATGTATACTGTAATGCCAAGTTTCAATCTTTAAGTCCCCATAAAAAAGGTTTCGTTCTACCTAGAGTCATTATTAAATATTATAATATACTTTCAAGAACCCAGTATGATGATAAAGCGACAACATTCCTGGTGATGAGTCTTTTCCACGATAAAGAAACCCTGCTGAAGGAAGGTGAAGTTTCGACATCATTCATCTGGAGTGGACTGTTTTTTCTTTTATAGAATAATGGTAAATAACGACCACACTGTCCACCTGATGGCAAGTGAATATTGTGGCCCATAGAAATCTACATCTATCCTCGATTAAGAGTCAAAATGTAGATGGAATGTCCCCTGAGAACTTGAAGGAATGTCTTATTTCCAGTAAAAAGAATACCTGGTTTTCTATACTCACCATACGAAATACAGCTGCATTAAGTTGCTATTTTACGCTGGTATTCTGTGAGAGCGTGGTTGTCTTACCCGGTTGAGTCAACATATATGTGCTACAACCATTATACAGAATACATAAGTCAGCAGCCAAAATAGGTCCCTTTTGGTCTTTTGTTCACATGCTTTTCTCGATTGTATCGTCTCGTTTAAAAAACCCGACTGCGTAAGAAATAACAATGGTAGAAAAATTGTTGACAAAAATGATTGAAATCTAAAAAAATATCTTATATATAAAATGATTTTAATTATTTTTCTATGATTTTTCAAATAAAAATTTATTTTAATTAAAGCCACAGAAAAAAAACATACATTTTTCAGAATATCAAATGACTTTAATCATTTTACACTATTCAAATGTTGCCATTTACTATATTTATACTATTTTCGTATACACTTTGTAAGACGACTACCAACACAACATACAAAGAAAATATTTTTATAGGAAGTTATTATTAGTAATAACTCTACTACCAATAATAATAAAAATAAAAGTGATATGGTTGAAAATAAGTCTCTTACAAAGAACTTCATGCAACAATACATTATCTCAATCATAGTACTATGTAACGATTCCATTTAATGTTATGGCAACATTAGCTAAAACAAAATGACACTGTATGGCACAAAGGCCCAGAAGCCATGCCAGAATTATACATTTATACGCAATACGCATAACTTTTTTCAAGTGACATAAGACATAACCTAAAAAGGTCCAAATCTAAATATCTTTTTTTGATGCCTTCTCAGGATAAAATTCTTTGACAAAGTTACTCAGGGACTGACGCTTAACATTTTAAGATATTTTTGATATATAGACGCTACCATTTTTTCTCAACTAAATTTATGTATGAAAGTCTGCCATTGTTCTTTTCTAATAAGACCTTTTATTGGTATATTTTACATACTTTTTATCGTACCTGCAAATTTAGCAATTTTTCAAAACAACTAGACATGTGTCAATCGTGAATGATTCGTTCATTTGATAGGTTTCGCATGGAAGTATTGCTGATTGCAATTATAATTTTTGATCGTTCCGGATTAAACGATTGATAGGACCTACGACCAAAGAGCATAGTAATGTACGACGATCGACGACCGACCTATCGAGCGGTATATATTATGTTTGTATTCTGCCGCCACAATACAGGAGAAAATCCTAGTGTGGAGGTTATAAAAAATATTGAGCACTCTCTGATCTCCGATATATATATATCGGAGATATATATGCATATATATATATATATATATATATATATATATATATATATATATATATGCATATATATAAGTCAATAGACAACTAAGTAATTAGCCGTTTATTTACAGGTTAGCATTTTTACTAAAGGGCACCGTTCAACTAGCGGCCTGAAAGATATTCAACCGATGTGTGTTATATACAACAATGCACATATCTTGTAATATCAGCGATAATAGATTAAGGTGCGACTGGGGTGGCCCTTAGGCCACCTTAAAGTTGCATACGTTTATATGATATAGCACATAGCGCATAATTAGGCGTAAACCAGCGACATTACATAACATGGGCACCATATTAATTACATTCAACGAGACAGTCACTGGTCAATGCCTAATTATGCGCCATTTGCTATATTATATAAACGTAGGTATTACAAGATATGTGCAATATGATATTAGACGCATTGGCTGAATATCATTTAGGCCACGGCCGCTCAGATTACATACAGATTATAAATTGTGTAATAAAGATTAAATAAGTAACTATAATGACCAAAAGTCTTCATAATCTTTTAGGTTAAAATTTGATATCAATGTGTACATAGGTATATTTAGATTCAAGAGTTGTATTAAGTGTTGCTTGCAAAAGAACCAAAGAATCTCCAGCCATATGTGGCAATAAGAATTAAGGAATTTACCGCTGACTATCCTTGGTTTTATGTCAAGACAACCAATCAATAATCCTGCAGACCGTATATCTCTTTTGTTTATTTTACGTGGTAGAGCCAAGCTGCAGTTATGTTAATTGTATAGTTGTAGCACGAATGGGTCGGCTTGACCGGGTAAGGACCACGCTCTCACAGAATATCAGCGTAAACTAGCAGCTTAATGCTGCTGTGTTTCGTATGGTGCCTGTAGGAACCGGAGACCCTTTTTATTGGAAAAGAGGCATTCCATCTTAGTCTTCACGGCTAACAACGCATCTGCATTTTGATTCGCAAAGGATAGATGTAGATGTCTATGAGCCACAGCAAACACCATCAGGTAGATTGTGTGTTCGCTTGTCACCCTTATCCTATAAAACATAAAAATTATCGAGGAATTTAGTCTCCCCTTTTCCAAGGTCACATGGACCAAAGTTAATGAATATTTGTTTGAATTTGAACACAATTTGATTAATTTAGAGATACTGCATGATTCACATGAATTAAAAACAAAACAATGTCAATATGAAATCTAGCTTGAGACTTATTTATAAATAACACACACACATACACATATATTTCCTCCATAGTCACTGTCATTCTTCTGTCTCATTCATATTCTGTTTTTATTTTTTGCAGAACCGGATTTAATAGAGATACCGATTGATTTATAGGAGAATATTATATAAATGGTTAGTTTTTTTTTTTTTATTAAATAAGGTAAGGGTAGGTACTGTCTGTTCCTCTCTTTGTTTTAATCAATGGCTGTGAGGTATTCCACCTTACATTCTCTACCTTGTCAGAGAGGTCGATACGCCGCATTTGTGGACACCAAGAGATATCGACTAGTGAAATTAACAGATCAGTCAAACAACCTCTGCACAGCATACCACTCCATCCATTATAGCCTATTAAAGTCCACTGCTGAACATAAAGCTCCCCCATAGATTGCCTCATAGGATATTTTCCATAGTTGTAATATTACTGTTGACTTGTAAATTTCACCTCTCAGTGGGTCATGTGTTCCTGGTAGATTGTTTTCTATACATCCTTCCACTACAGCCTATTAAAGTCCACTGCTGAACATAGGCCTCCCCATAGATTGTCTCATAGGAAGGATTTCGCCATAGTTGCTTTTTACGCCCGTTTTTTTATTATTTCGTGTTGTTAGCAGGAAGATGATCCTGCCCATCTCCTGACACACACTTAATACGTTTCCAATCCACCAATGACAATGAGGCCTACACCTAGTTTCAAGTGTCCGTGAACTTTAGTATTCATATACTATAATTAGAAGATGTATAGTCTGTTCGCTAAGATAGTGTTGGTTCACCCGGAGGCCCACTTATTATTTTGTTTTTATTTTTCTTTTTTTTACCGTGTTTGTTAAATAAATGCTTTTCTATTCTGAGAATAAAATAGAATACTATTTTATTCTTATGATTATTGTTATAAACTACGAATATAAATGATAAACACAAGTTAGGTAGCAAAGAATCTATCACTACGGCGATTCGTTTTAAAATGCCAAATTCTCCTGCGGGTGTACGCCGCAGGAGACACGCGCCTTTGACAAGATGCGACACAAAAGCGACCGTATCTAAGCGAACAGATTATATTAGTAGTTAAAATTATTTGTAACCCGCACTTTTATATTTGACTGCTTCGTTGATCTTGGTGGTCATGTGGTCCCGGGCTGAATCCCGGGTAGGGCTAAAACATTTATTAAGTCAAGGAATTCTCAATAGCAGCCAGGAGTCAGGAAAGTTGGCGTTGTTTCACTCTCGTGCCTCCGAAAGCACGTGAAAGCCGTTGGTCTTGCGCCCGTTCTCTCTCCGGTAGTGACTGATTACCGTCCCTTCGGACTGTGAGAGTGAGGGAATAGAGAGTGCACCTGTGCTTACGCACTCACTCGTGCACTATAATCCTGTCCTTCAAATGGCTAGTTTCTGTTGAGACTGGCGACCTTGACCGAAATACGGTATTGAGTAGGTACATTATTATTAGGAACTAACTCAATTGCCTCTTAGGCGCCGTCCTATTGCCATCGATCGCACGATTAGAAATCGTGTGTTTTTTGGAGCGATGCGATCACTATTGAATTGGTTTTTAACAGAGATACACAGGTTTTGCTGTCGAGCAATATTTCTTTAATAGTGAATAGCATTGAAAAAAGAAAACGTACACCACATAATATACTGTATAAAACCAGAAATCAGTGCGGTGAATTTCACAATCAGTATTACGACGTACGGCAAAACGAAGAAGATTTTTTTTAATTAAGTTTTCTTCAAATGTCACCTTACGAATCCATGCAATCGAACCGAACGATTTATATTTACACAAAATGGCAGGCCGTCAAGCCGAGCGTACGCCGTGGTACCCCTCCCTTGATTCCGCCCCGGGAGCGCCATTAGGACATTCAGTACTGATTAGTATGTTTGATCGGACGATCGTCTGATCTATACGATGCATCAATAATCGCACGATGAAAATTAGACAATTCGGTCGCATCGCATGATCGCACGACCTTCAATAGGACAATCCGCAGATATGAGTACGTACGCACGGTTGCACACTAAGATGTTTTTAAAGTATAGATAATGGCAATACGAAAGTCCGGTAATTGCCCGACTCGCTTTCAGTCGGGCACGCTCTCGCGTCGCGGCTATACCTTCGCTACAGCGCGTAAATCTTCTAGTTATTCGTGGTAAAAATGCCTTCCTGTGTTTTTAGGTGGTGCATAAATTACACGGCAACTGTTAGAGACAAGAAAAACGTCTCATTAATATTTTGAATGTAGATGTTTTGTTCATAATTGGTTTTATTATTTCAACACTAACCGCTAGTGTAAACTTTGCGGCGAGCTAGTGTGTTCATTCCCATATCGGTATGTCACGCGCTCGTGCCAATGAGCGCCCAGCAGCAATCAATACGCAACTAATGATGTATATTCATCTTTTTCTAACGATAGGTATGCCGTATCATTTGTCTCTTTTTCTTAGCGCAACGTGTCATAATAAATAACTGTACGTAGATATAGTACTACCTGCGCCACTTTAAAATACAATAATGTTAGTGTGTAACCTGTCTATCTTTTTTAATACGTATTTGGTTACACAATCATTTTCGTCGGACGTACGCAAGATCGCGCGGGCGATGGCAATAGGACGGCGCATAAGTGTATGATAGTAGGAATAAAGTAACCAAAACTTAAAGTAACGTAAAGTAGTTTTTTAACGTGGCAGAGCCATGCTACAACTTTATTAAAGTTGTAGTTACGAATGGGTTGGCTCGACCGAGGTAGGACCACGCCCTCACAGAATACCAGCGTAAAAGAGCAACTCAATACCGTGTTTCGTATAGTGAGTGTAGAGAACCGGAGCTCCTTTTTACTGGATTGAGGCATTCCATCTTAGTCCTCAGGGGTTACAACGAATATGCATTTGGATTTTTATCGAAGATAGATATAAATGTCCATGGGCCACAGTATACACTTACCATCAGGTGAATTGTGTGCTCGTTTGTCGTCTTTATTCTATAAAAAGAAAAAACTAAACAGATTGTTTTTTTTTTCAGAGTATTACATACATCGACACGGTGCCTAGGTTGAAGTTTGTTGTTAATATTAAATCTATTTAATAGCAGCTTTCTAATGCAATTTATATTAGCGTACAACGATAAGTCAATGAACTGAAAAATATTGTTGCGTGTTAGAATTAGTTTTAAATCACAATGAATAAAATAAAACTGTGTTTGTATGAGGCAGTAAATGTGCGTTTCATTTGATTTCACTTAGTTTCACTTAGTCACTAAGTTCATTATCTATACAAATACTAACTGGCCAGGCAGACGTTGTTCTGCCCTTTCCGACGACCCCAAGAGTCTAAAGGTTTAAACAACTTCTAGTCCATTTTTATTAAATAATGAGATTATTATATTTCCTTGACATTTTAAAGTATTGTTATGGCGGTCTGGTAATTTATAGCTATGTTGATAAAAGTCAGCAAAGTTGTTGCGTTGCTTAAGGAGGACTACAGCTAATGCTTCGTGGCTCAGAGGCTAAATGGGAATGGTTCGACAGTCCAAAGGAACAGACATATATCAAGACACCAATTCCACCACAGAAATCGTAATAATTACGATTTCTGTGAGTTCCACCATCAAAAGGCCTGGTTCTGGAAGAAAGTCATGTACTGAACCACGGGATAATCGTTTTCTAGTGAGTCAAGCGTTGAGAAATTGCAAATATTCGTATGCGGACCTCAAGAACAATCTAGAAGAAGTAAGAAATGTGTAAATTAATCGATGGACGTTCAGGAGGCGGCTTCTCGCTTCAGTCCTGCGCCCCTAAATTACTCCCGAGTTGGCAGGCTTAGCTTTGCTCGAAATTGTGTGTCATGGACTTAAAAAGACCGGGATAGGGTATTGATTTTCCGATGAAGCCGGGATATCTCTGCACAGTGAAGACTAACGTGCTACGAAGACGAGGAGAACGCTTTCAAGAGGCATGTTTTGAAGAAATCACACCTTACGTTGGAGGTTCCGCCATTTTTTACTTTGATCGTACGGAGTTGGTCTTCACCGAAAACGGCACATTGACTGAACACCAATACATAACGGAAATTCTAATTCCTCATGCACAATTTGCTTTGGCGTTCTTGGCGAAAACTCAATTGTAAGGGACGCCAACGCTCGCACTCACCGGTCTGGCGATGTGGAATTGTATATATGCTATAGGTCGGAATACGTCATTTGGATTGGCCAGCTCGAAGTTCCGACGTAAATCCCACAGAGCTTCTCTGAGATCGTTCTGTAGCGACGAGTGAGACCAGTGCAACAGGTTCCGCAGACCATCGAAGGGCTAAAAATGTGATTAACACTGAGTGGGAACTTATTTCTCAAGAAACCATAAGATATAATAAACTCGTACGAGAGTACGCGAGTTCGTCTGGACGAACGCAAGCTGTGAATTCAGCTAGAGGGGGTAACACTCTATACTAAATTTCTTTTCATCTGTTAGTACTTTACAAAAGAAAAATCAAACATTAATTTAATGTAATGTTATGATAAAACTGACAAAAACTATTCCTTGCTAATTAATTTACAAAATTATGAGTATAAAACTACCTAAAATTATCAAACAACCTAACAATAAAATTGGTTCTTTGTTTAGGTAACCTAACCTAAACGCTTTTTTTTTGCAAGAGTTTTTATTTATTCTGTGTCTGTGGGCTGTCCCAATGGATTTTCGCAGTGTTCAGAGGCGTCGAAATGTTTTTAAATTTTTCAGATATGAAAATTTCTTCACTTTATTTTACGTCCACCGGTAAACCAAGCACTTAAAATTTCAAAGGGTTTGCGGCGGGATTTGAAGTACAGGTTTTATGCTTGTCTTGTCTTGTAATTTGTGGAACCTGATATGTTCAGGCTTGCTATGCACCGATGAGCAAGTTTTTATTATTATAGTATTCTCAGACTTTACCCATCTAGAGCGGGGGATCCCGTTCTTTTCACATAATGTTTTTTTTCCTATTTTGATATATATATATATATATATATTGGTTTAATACTTTGCCATATCCTCAAATGATTAGAGTGTTGCCTTTAGCAACAGATGCATGTAAACAATAATTTTGTCATTTTTTAAAAGTAGATTTTAAATGTATTTATA